TATTGGTTGAATGTACTTCCCATTTACTGCCGCAAATAATGAATAATTTTGAAGGTTTTAATGCTCATCAAAATTTGACTTTAGAATTGCATCCGTAAATGATGTTAATTTAATGTTAGAATTACGGTATAATGATCGGTTAGATATCCATCATTTTGCTCATCCTTTTAACGACAATTTAACGTCAGGAAATGACGTTAATCTAGCGTTAAGTTTACGTCATTTTTACGTTATATTTACATCATTTTCTGACGTAAATCTAACGTAAAGTTTACGTCATTTTCTGACGTAAATCTAACGAAAATGACGTAAACTTTACGCAAATTTTACGTTAGATTTACGTCAGAAAATGACTTAAAGTTTACGTTAGATTTACGTCAGAAAATGACGTAAATATAACGTAAAAATGACGTAAAGTTTACGTTAGATTAACGTCATTTCCTGACGTAAAATTATCGTTAAAAAGATGAGCAAAATGATGGTAAACTGACTGACCATTTTTACGTAAATGTAACGTAAAATTAACATCATATTGTTATGTGGGTAGTATGATCACGATATGAACTGATGTAGTAGAGTTAATGATGGAATATAACGTAAAAATGACGTAAAGTTTACGTTAGATTAACGTCATTTCCTGACGTAAAATTATCGTTAAAAAGATGAGCAAAATGATGGTAAACTGACTGACCATTTTTACGTAAATGTAACGTAAAATTAACATCATATTGTTATGTGGGTAGTATGATCACGATATGAACTGATGTAGTAGAGTTAATGATGGAATATATCTGGATATTGACTAGTGTGGACTCTATATTAACTGATGTAGTAAAGTTAATGATGGAATATATCGGATAATATAATAAATGGTTCCACTACTGATAACTAGGGCAAAACAGTTCATCATTAGGCAACAATCCCAGAACCATAAAATGATACACGAGTTTTAGCATGTAGAACATTGTATGTATAATTGTATTGCTCATACCTTGACTCAGGGTGAAGTAATTTGACTGAAAGTTTCAGCATATTCTTTTTTTATTATCTATTTTGTAAACTATTATAGCTAGAACTGTCAGCTCTTTTTCTAAATCTGACCTAATGCCGCTTTAGTATAGGGCGCCAGATGATCACTTGTTTATTCAAATAGTATCATTTATGTTCCTTACCCAGCTCCATACATTTAAACCCGGATACTAATTACTAACATACCTTTTACAATTTGACATGAATAAAGAATACAATAGAGGACAAAGACGGTGCTATTTATAACGAGAAATCTATTCATTGAACCTGTATATATTATATCATATATCTAACTTATACATAGGTGAGCTTTAGAAGAGAGAGAGAGAGCATACGGCTGCTTATGCACTTGTAATTCTATTTATTAATGATGTAGTGCATAGACTCTGGCTAGTAAATGTGAGGGGGAGGGGGTAACATCCACACGACAAAAACTAGGTCATTTCGGGACTAACATAAGGTTCAATGTCATTTTTAAAAAATCGCTAGCACGTTGGGGTCTTTAGCAGGAGGGAAGAGACCGGAGAAGACCCACGAGGTTAAGCAGGCGAACATGGTCCTTTTAACTTTACTCAATGACAGACCTTGTGATTTGATGCGCACGCGTTAAACAACTAGACCCCAATCTACCCCTCACCCCTGGTCCAGTAAACAGAATAATACTGTAGTCCGTATATTACAGAACAGCAAACATGGCGGCGTGAAAAAGGTTTATTTATCTAAATAGCAAGAGGCGATGAAAACATACCAGGTTATCAGTGGATGTGTTGGCAAGATTAAAACATGTTCTTGTCTTCGTTCGTATATAAATTTACAAATATATGATGATGATTGTGAACCGAAGCGTGTCACCAATGATTTGCAATTAATTTCCCGCCTTACCTATTGCGTTTTAATCGGTAATATTTATTCGGGTTGAAATACAGGCAATGTACCGTCAATGCCAGGCCTTTTGCTGTGATAATAAATCATTGAATTTCTCAAATGATAGATTGATAAACAACACTGAATGATTTGTAAAATCCAAATTAAAAGGGCCTTGCGTATTGCTAATATGTTGAATATCGTTATACACTGTTAAAATAATAAAGTTTACAATATTCATCATTATACCACCACTTTTCGACAACTGCAATTGTTATCTATTGAAATTGAATTTTTTAAAAATATCTAGTAAAACAACTGTTCCGCCAACGGATGTGTACTATGATAATTTATCATAAATTATAGTCATACTATTTTCATACATTACAATATAATAATATTCTATTTCGACAAATATTTTCCTAGTAATGACAACTAAGATTTTAATTGAGTATAGTGGTGCTCTTGAGGGAACATAACTTGCATGCAATGTGAGTAATTCGTGATTTTTGGCAGTGAACGATATTCCATAATTAAAAATCCATGCTTTTTGACTAATGTGGGTATTCCATATTTTAAGCGTGCAGTTCAGTTTTTCACATAGCTAAGTGTATGTAAAATAGAGCCTTTGAATACCGATTTAAGGTAAGACACTTGCCTAAGTGGGAAAATTAAGTATTTTTACTTAACTTTAAGAAAACCTTTGAATACGTTCCATGGATTATTAATTATACATTTATTCACATGACAAGCCCATAATCAACTCTCTCTAAACCATCGTATGGCTAAGATATTGACAAGCCCATAATCAACTCTCTAGATCATCGTATGGTTAAGATATTGACAAGCCCATAATCAACTGTCTCTAGACAATCATTTATTCACATGACAAGTCCATAATCAACTCTCTAGATCATCGTATGGTTAAGATATTTAGTGGGTTAGACAATGATAAACGTCATGGACGACACTCACCGAAACTGTCGATTGAGAGACTGGAAATCGAGACTACGTTTATTGAAGTGACAATAGTACTTGACAACCGAAACTATTTCTCATCAAAACTGCTAACACTGATAACTTCACACAGAATATTTTTAAACTATTATAGTAAGGTAGATCAGTAGATCAGCTCCTTATCTAAATCTCTCACATAATGCACCTATATACGATTGTAAACAGATGCTATCTTTTTTAATAGATCAATTAACTCGAATGTGATTAAAACACAGATCCTATTTCGTTTCGTTTTTTATAGTTAAATTTTTTGTTTTACTTGTCTTTACTACACTAGGATCTGATAGAGTTGTTATATAACCCGCGTTCTGGATGGTGTGAGGAATTAGCTAATGAAACGATCTGTTACGGCGAGTACTTGGCGTGTGGTGAATGGAGCTATCTGATTAAAACAGGTATCCGACTAGAAACATCAACACGGAACAGTGTGGCACTATCTTTTTATTTTAAATAGATCAATTAAAGTAGGTAATATCATCCAGTCTTCGACATTGCAAACACGACTTATTGGTCAATTTAAATATGTTGTCATCTTGCCGTGAAAAGATGGGCTTCTGATATCCAATCTTTAAGACACAATGAACATTTTAAACTTGGCACAAGAATCGCGTATTAGAATGCTTTTAGGCGCCAATTGTACGAGCGACTCCTCGGTGAACGAGGCTATACATGCCTCATAAAGGAAGACTGTAGACTGTAATAACCAGACGCTAAAGACTGCCATCCAAATTGCACTCTTCGCGTGTTTACACGAACACAAGTGATTAGAAATTACAGAAAAAAACAACAGAATGTAAATCAGTTTATATACATTCATATCTAAAATAGTCATTTTCGGCTTCCGTACTTCCAACTTTAAACTTATATATTTTCCCCAAACCTTGGTTTAAATCACTCAACATCTTACAGATATATATCTTTATAGTCGTCATATATTTAATGGTCGTAACTATGGAAACAGTTTTATATAAGCAGTTTTACTTGTTACTGCATCCTATTCACTTATATTCTCTTAAATGATAAATTGCAAATACTAACCCCATAAACATTGCCACATGGGGACCATATGGGGAAAAAATGGGCTGTGGGCCCAGGTGATACCACAAGGTCCCCATATAGGACCCATATTATCTTACCACATACAAATGTACGCAAATACACTTTATTTTCATATATATATTAATATCACAGAGACAAGCCAAATGATATAATGGTTACTTCTTTTTTACATTGATAATCTGACCGTATAGTGTGTGTATCTGGGGCCAATATGGGATCTATATGGGATTTTCCACATTAACAACTCTGTTTTTGTACACTTGGGGCCAATATGGTGTCCATATGGGATTACCCGTGTGTGTATCTGGGGATAATATGGTATCTGTATGGGATTACATATAACTTTTGCATATTTGGGGCCAACATGGTATCTATATGGGATGACTTATTAGTCTATGTATGAGTTCATTATTGAATCCATACTTTTAGTTGTGTATATATTAATATCACAGAGATAAGCCAAATGATATAATGGTTACTTCTTTTTTACATTGATAATCTGACCGTATAGTGTGTGTATCTGGGGCCAATATGGGATCTATATGGGATTTCCCACATTAACAACTCTGTTTTTGTACACTTGGGGCCAATATGGGGTCCATATGGGATTACCTGTGCGTGTATCTGGGGATAATATGGTATCTGCATGGGATTACATATAACTTTTGCATATCTGGGGCCAACATGGTATCTATATGGGATTACTTATTAGTCTATGTATGAGTTCATTATTGAATCCATACTTTTAGTTGTGTATATATTAATATCACAGAGATAAGACAAATGATATAATGGTTATTTCTTTTTTTACATTGATAATCTGACCGTATAATGTTCTCCTGAATAAATTACTGTTTAAACCATATACATTCATATTACATTATCATATGCCTTGCTTTATTCCATTTCTAGGTGCCAAGGAATAGCGATTTAGCTTCTTCAAAGGACAACAGATACCAGCGCGAATTTCTGCTCACTGATAATTCCTTCAAAGTTCAAGAGTGTGACAAAGTGATCTATACCTTTTATCAAATTGAACGATCATTTAGGTGCATAAAACTTTATGATAATATGCTGATTTTGAAAATATATGACATTGATGTTTCAACTCTGTATAAACTTCTGTTAAGGCACGGGCTGACTATGATCTTATTAAACATCTAATTAATTCAATATGTTCTTAACAAGCTACACATGATCCGTGTATAACACTAGGCAGAACTTCATGACTTCAAAAGAAATACGCAGTGCACTTACTGATACCTTAATCTGATAAATAAACAATACCATATATGATGATTCACTCTTGCCCATTTTCCCAGACTTGGAATAGAGCTCCTCCCGATTTATGTCTGTTTCATGTTCTTAATAAATGTCTTATCAATTATGCTGATCTTCTGTTATCCGTAGTGTTACAAGAGTTGTTATGTGAGACTGCGAGAGGATATCTAACAATTCCAGAAAGCAATTGAATGTCACTAGATAAGAAAACACGAGCGAGAAAAATAGAAATAGTCCGTACATTCACTTGTTTTTATTATCTAATGACAGTCAATATTTATACTTTTAAATTGTCAGATATCTCCCCACAATCTCATATAACAATTTTTGGTCTTGGAAGGAAATATTAGTGAAGAGAAATTCACTCGTCACTCGTCACTTCAGTCAGTTATATAGACGGATCTCTGTGTTAAAATTATATTTGAAACGTGTTTAACCAGTTCTATAACATATGTGGTAATGACTGACACCAATATTGTCCTTTAACTCGGGAACCCTGAGTTGTTCTAACTATGTTTATATATGAAATACAGGAAACTACCACATCTATGAGTTTAATAAACATAGAACTGAGACCGAACGGAAACACTGCCTAAAATAGACCTAAAATAATCCCTATAAATATATAGTATTACATTAGACACCTTTTCCAGAGGATGAAGATACCAATAACGCTGGAGACAGAGCCAATTGATGTCCACACGTAGAACAAAAACGCGTTTCTTATGTAACACATGGGCTGTGCATTTCTAAATTCGAGTATGGGATCCGGCAGTACGAAAATAAACAGGAAACCTACAAATCCAAATAAATATAGCTGATTAATCAAAGAGATAGCGACAATAAATTTACAATAAATATATCAAATGATACCATGTAATGAAATGGATTACCATAATCAAGGACGCTAACTCCAGAAGTAGTTATCCGAAATTACACATTATAAAAAAACGAATATAGATCTGTATTTTAATCAGATTGAGTGCATCGTGTATAAAATTGTCAGGTTTGAATTTCAAGACTCACCAACTATCATCAGTCCAACAATACTAATTATCAGCTGAGCAGTTACAATGTGTTCTGGGTAACTTGTATTCCTTTTTAGACAACTTGCAAGAATAATGATCAGACACATCACGCTATATACCATCGGAACAAAAGGACCGTAACTCCCTGTCGGACAAATTGAAAGCAAGATGAAACCTAGAAGAAGTAACAAAAATATGCAAATAAATGATCATGAATTTCTTTGTTGAGTTTAGTTTTCCGGAGAACTTCGTGAAGTCCCTTTTCTACGAAAATTGAACACAACAACCCTTCTTGGATTGACTCACATATCTTGTGTAAAGTACGATTGGCTTTTAAAAATGCCGGCAGTATTTACCCAAAAGAACACAAAAGGATTGAGTGCATTTTCCCAAATCCATGAAACAATGAATTTATCAGGAATTAACCAAAGAGCTGCAACGGCTAGCATATTTAAGTGATAGGCTAACATACGTCACATAATTTTAGGGGCAAACCCGAATTTGTTAAATAAGTTTGAATCAGTCTCCCGAAATATCCCGCCCCCTCCCCTCCCCAAACTAACGCCACGCCCCTCGCGATAAATAGAAGAGAAAGCAGTTTAAAGCTATACCATACGGACTGGAAAGACGGTATTGGTGAAAGAACATGTACAGTGTAACACATTGCACTTCTTGGTCCACTTTCTCGTGGGTTTATTTCTTCTCTCGGAAATTCGTTTTGATACAGGCATAAAGATTATAGACCCCTAGGCAGAAATCATGTATCCTCCCTGAAGAAACTTACCCAAGGCAAACTGGCTGTACAAACTTATCGGTATAACTATCCAGCAACCTGAAATGAATCAAGAATCCAATTACAACGTTCATACAACGTTCTTTTAACTTGTGTAAACAGAAATCAAATTGGGTTCTGCACCGACTAGGCTAATGGATACGGGCATAAATCTATTCTTACTGTGTTCTATGATGGAGTGAGGGGGGTTAAAGTTGACTCGATAAAAACTAGGGCATTTCGGGACTAACATATTTTATTTCATTAATTAGCTTGCGCATAGGGGTCTTTATCAGTTTGTGTGTGTGTGTGGTGGGGGGGGGGAGGGCAAGAGAAAACTCACGAGGTTGGACAGGCGACCCAATGCCTTGCCACGTACAAGCGTGGATCGGAACCACGCCACTTGAATCAGTTACAAGACCTACTGATGTAAAATATTAGAAAATGTAGCCCCTATTACGTTACCGAGTCATTTGTTGGCAGACTGAGGGATCCATGAGTGACGACATAGTATGAAATGTTGGCGTATAAATATTAATAACAATTAGTATTTTAATATCACGAATGGGAGGAAGTGCTCACAATGGTTTTGTAAATATACTTCCGGTAGTGGCAAGAATTGATAGCGGGTGATTCCCGATCATCAAGTCGGGGTCTCTATACTTTTCGGCCCAGGCGCTTTCGGTGGATTACAATATACTCGGAGAAAACGTAATACAGAATAAGAAATTTGTGAATTGCTGGTTATCTCTACAGTAGATAACTGTTCTCTCAATGATCAATGCTGTACTCTCACACACGACACCATCGATCACCCACATGGATTCCTTGATTCATGAAATCCTAGCTTTTAAAGCACTCGGAAACCTAACCTACCACTCGGCAGCCTAACCCAACATATGGACGAACAGGGCCCTCACAAGCTCAGGGCAAAAATTTCAGTGGTGCCCCCACCCCCTACCCACCCAACCCCCCTCATGCATACTTTAACTGATTTGTTCAGTGTCTGCGCTCAGTTGATTTTTTATGATTAAAGAAATTTCAAAATACATTTTTTTATACTTTTAACACTTTATAATTCTACCCTCTCTATTTGCTGAAATATGAACTGGTTTACTGAGGTTTAGGGGAAGCGAAGGCTGGTAATTTTCTATCTCAGACTCCATTGAATATTTCTGGCATGTACTAAGATAAGTGTCGCCCCGGGCATGTGCCCCCCCCCCCTAAGCCTCCCCTATGTGAGAGCTCGGTGGACCAATGAACCCACTAAAACACGATAACTTATACTTACACTTGCCCCAGTTCTTACGCAAATCATCTTCCTTGTCTTTATTAGAGTTGTGTTTACCATCTTCTAATTCAACATACACTGATCGATCTTTTACCAATAACAAAACAAAATATTAAAAAATCAATATTACAATTCAATATACACTGATCGATCTTTTATCAATAACAAAACAAAACATTAAAGACTCAATATTTCAACCAGTGAAAATCCCGATGAACTTTATTGGCTAAAGCAGAGATCGAACACGGGACCTCCGGGTTAGCGAACCAGTGACTTACACAATGAGCCACCGTGGACCACAGTGCATTGTTTGGCGTTTTGTCTCTTGGTTAAAAAATGGCCATGTGTATTAGCTATTGTGTCGAGAACAGCATCAACATTTTCTTGGATGATCCTTGCTGATTCTGTCACATCACTGTTTGACTGTATTACATCATAAAGCAAATGAGAGCATAAACCTGTTTGACACCTTGGTAGTAGTGTCCTGGTGTTTAACGTCTGCTTCCACATAAGGGATATCGCAGACAAGAAATAGGAGAGCCGAAGCTGCTTCCTGTTTTTAGAATATGATTTTGCAATCTTTCCATTTTCAGCCTTAGGCCATGGATTGGGTTTTGTGGGAAGTTCTTCCCTTTATTTAGTAAAAAACATATCGTTTGGTAGATGTTTTCTTCTGCTTCTGGATTGGTAGATGTCGTCGTTGTGGGATTAGTGTTTAGGTGCCAGGCCCGTCTTATCGTGACCTCCCCTTACTCTACAATCCCACTCTATGGGTTTGGTATCTGTTTCTTTTGCGGAATAGTGTTTAGGTCCCGAGTCTGTCTGACCGTAACTCCCCCTTACTCCACTATCCTGCTAGTTTGGTAGATGTCATCTTTGTGGGATTTGTGTTTAGGTGCCAGGCCCGTCTTATCGTGACCTCCTCCCCTTACTCCCCTATCCCACTCTGTAAGTTTGACGTCTATTGTTTGCCGGAATAGTGTTTAGATGCCGAGTCCGTCTGATCGTGACCTCCCCTTACTCCCCTATCCCACTCTGTAAGTTTGACGTCTATTGTTTGCCGGAATAGTGTTTAGATGCCGAGTCCGTCTTATCGTGACCTCCCCTTACTCCCCTATCCCACTCTGTAAGTTTGACGTCTATTGTTTGCCGGAATAGTGTTTAGATGCCGAGTCCGTCTTATCGTGACCTCCCCTTACTCCCCTATCCCACTCTGTAAGTTTGACGTCTATTGTTTGCCGGAATAGTGTTTAGATGCCGAGTCCGTCTTATCGTGACCTCCCCTTACTCCCCTATCCCACTCTGTAAGTTTGACGTCTATTGTTTGCCGGAATAGTGTTTAGATGCCGAGTCCGTCTGATCGTGACGCTTCCTTACTTCACTATCCTGCCAGTTTGGTATAAATCCCCTATGTAGTTTAGTGTTTAGATGCCGAGCCCGTCTAACCATGGCCCCCTCTTACTTCACTATTCTACTTAGTCCAACTGTGTCCATTAGGGCGTGGATTTGTTCGAAGATTTGCAGTTTCAGATCTGGTCTCGGGAATAGTAAGTTCTTAGTGTTGAATGGTATGTTGTTAGTCTCCATCATTCTCACTAGTTCCCTTCTCTCCTCCTTGTATACCTCGCAGTCTACCAGGACATGGTTGGTGGTATATTCTTCTCCGCACTCACAGACGATGACTTGGTGTTTGTAGTCTCGCATCCGCTCTTTCACCCTTAGTTTCGATATAAGTCTGCATATATCTCTTCTAGGGTGATTGATCACTGTCTTCGTGTAGATTTTGTCATTCAGTCGGAATCTGTATGTGCCAAGTTCAACGAGTTTTAGTTCCCAGAATGAATTGACCTGTCTTTTAACCATACTGTAGATTTCCCTGGTGCAGTAGTCTATGGTGCGGAGTGGTTCTGTGTCCTTGAGACCTTCGTTGGCGAGTCGATCTGCCTCCTCGTTTCCTCTAATGTTGACATGTGATGGAATCCACACGACCTCTAATTTGCTTCCCTTCTCTAGGACCCTCTGGTACAGCTGCCTGATTTCCAAAATGACTTCTGGTTTTGAGTCCGAGTTGTCATTTTGGATTGAAATCAGACTGCTCAGAGAGTCGCTTGGAATGACGATTTACTAGTCTTTTGATGGGAGATCCATGATATAGCGTCACGAATGGCCACAAGCTCTGCAGTGTACACCGAACAGTTATTGGGCAGTTTCCTGCTTATTCCTTGTTCCCCGTTTGGCAGATATATTCCAAACGAGCTTGTGCCCCTTTCAGGGTTGCGTGAGCCATCCGTGTACACATGGTCCCAGTCATCAGACGGCCAGTTGTCTTCCAGGTGTTCTAGGGAGAAAGCACGTGCAGCAGTGGGGTTGTTGTTCTTGTCGGTTTTCTGTAGTAGATCTCGATTGACCGGCAGTATAGGGAGCGTCCAAGGGGCGATTGCTGGGGGGTCGTGTTCATTTATCATGTGCTCTCCCATTCGCAGTTCCTTGATTGTTTCCCTGATACCCTGGCCGAAGCTTTTCTTTCTAGGATCTCTCACATATCTTGTCTTTTGTAGACAGACAAAAGTAGGGGATCTTTCGCCCAGTTGCGAGATCTCGGCCCAATACCTTGTCGCTAGATCTTTTCTTCTTAGGGATAGGGGCAACTCCCCGGCTTCCTGTAGTAATGCCTCTCTCCTAGTCCCAAGCCCTACGCCAGTCGCAATACACAGAGCTTTGTATTGGAAAGTGTCAGAATGTCATCCAGTGCCCACTTTGTGCCTTCTGGATGATGTCTCTTGCAGCGTATTTCAACTTTAGGTAGTTTTGGTGGTTGACTTCATTGTAGTGGCGTTTCCGTAGGCGAAGTGCCTTCTTTCTTTCGTTAACCGCCTTCTGACATTCTGGTGACCACCAAGGTTTTCTAATCCTTGGTTTTTCACCAGAACTCTTGGGAATGGAGTCGTTTGTGGCAGCGTACACGTCGATGTTGGCATCGATGATATCTTCTTCCTTCCAACCAAGGCAGCCTACACGGAAGTTGGCCCAATCGGCTTCTTTCATTTTCCAATTGGGTCTCCATCAGTAGATGGTCACTGCCAGGTGTTTCATCTTCGTGTACTTGCCAGTCGCAGCGGTTTACCATACCAAGCGTACAGAACGTGAGATCTAGGTGCGAAGGTGAGGCATTTCCTCCGACAAAAGTAGGTCTCTCGTCGTTCAGTACGCATAGGTCGTTCCCTTCTATTATTGAGCATAGGCTAGTCCCCCGACAGTCATTCCTTGGTGACCCCCACAGGACGTGTTTTGCGTTGAAATCCCCGCAAAACACAGATTCGCCCTGCGGAAGCTGGTCGAGAAGTGACTGGAAGTCAACTGGTTTTCTCGTGACATCTGGGGATACATAGACATTCACTATTGTCAATTTTGTATTATTGCTCAATGTGATGCCTATGCCCATTGCTTCTAGAGGGTCCTCTACGTCCAGCGAAACAGAAATATAATTTAAGTTATCACTGACGTAGATGGCAAGACCGCCGCCACGTGTCGTGCTGCCCGGTCTGTCCCTTCTCTGACAAGTGTATCCGGACAAGTAGATGTCGTTCTTGGTTGGTAGTAGCTTGGTTTCTTGGAGGCATATTACATCTTTGGGGTTGCGGGTGATGGATTTTCTCAGCTCAGCACATCTGGGGGCCAGTCCATTAACGTTTTGTTGTAGAACTTTTACCTGGCCCGCCATGATGACTGTCCGGATGGATGCTTCACTGCCTTGTCTATTTATTGGTCAATTGGCGTTTCACATTCCATAGGAGGTACCTCATTAGTGTTCGTCTTTGGTGTTAAAACCGGCAAGAAACTGGGCATATCGCCAGTGCTGTAGTGACGAACATGAGATATCCTTCTACGGAGTGCGAGGTTTGCCGTTTGATCGCCTTTTGTGGTTTCTTCGTCGTCGTCTTCTTCTCTTGATCTTTTTTTTTACCGTGTTGATTGAATTAATCATGACACACAGGACATCGGCGTTGACCATGTGTGTCCTTATTTTGCCGAGTAGGCTTGCCATCTTGGTAGTTTGGTCCTCATTGGACACGGCCACCCTGGGGAACTCGATCATGAAGTTCATGAAGCCACTTTCCGTTTTAAATTTAGGAATGAAGTGTTCTTCATGAATCTTCGTTTTCGGTTCCTCTTCTTTCTTCTTGGATTGTTTTGTCTTCTGTTTGACCTCTACCGGTTTGGCAGATATTTTCTTCTCTTTCTTCTTCTTGTCTTTACCTTTAGGGGTGGGGGATGCATCGGACGTCGAGAGGGTCGGCGATGGAGCTTGTTTTGGTTCCACCACCGGTTCTCTGACTACTTTTGCTTCCCTCTCCTTGTTCTTTACTTGTTGGGTTGCCTCCCTAAAGGTAAGTTTTTGTTTACGTTGCAGACGTAGAGCTGCTTTTGTCGCTTGAATTCTTGGGCATTGAGGGGAGTTGGCTGCGTGGCTGCCCTTGCAGTTTGAGCAGTTAATTGTGCTACCCACCCTACACTCAGCCACCGCGTGTTCTCCCCCACATTGGGCGCATACGGTTTTTCCTTTACAGTACTTCACTTCACCGTATGACCCAATTTTTGACAGTTAGCGCACTGTCGCACCCTCTGTATATAGGGATGAGTCCGTCTTCTGAGATACACTATGTTTATGACCTCTGGTGCTGTACCTTTCTTGAAGATCAGGGCAACGCTTCCCTGATCCTTCCCTCGGCCACTCTAAACCTGTATATCTCAGTGACGTCATACTCCCTATCTTTCAGGTCGTCCATTATTTCCTCCCCGGTATAGTCGGCTGGTATCCCATGAACAACCACCTTGTCTGTTAACAAGGTGGTCGGTTCGGATACCGTCACGGTCATACCGAGTAGGCTGTCCTGGGCCAGTGCTTTGTCCATGTCCGACTTACTTTTTAGGGAAAGTCTGATATGTCCAGGTATATTACTGATACCCTACTTAGTCTGTAGTTCCTTTCCCACTGCCGTCAGTTTGGACCCATGAAAAGACTTGCCTTCCATTGGCCTCACCTGCACGACGTGGTTCTGTTCATCCTTCCTTTTTGTTGCAGGAAAAACTTTGGCGCAGGGCTGCTATTAAAGCTTCTACCATTGACATGGGAGAAGTAGCCTCTGTCGCCATTGTTCTTATTGCTATCGAAAGATCTAAAACAAAGGAATGATTGAACAGTTTTTTTTAAGGTTTTCTGATTGTACTGATGTTAGCCTTTCCCACAAAGAACCGCTAGTCAATCAATGTGTTTAGTGCTGATTAGCTATGAGTTCTAATTGCTTGTAAGGGTTCATGAACAGTTGTCAGGTTTCTATAAACACCTAGCTTGCTAGTTGTTTTATGGTATTAGTGAGCAATTCAATCAATTGATTAGCTTGGCCACTGATTAATTCTTAGTGAAAGGCGTCTTTGGTGAGAGACTTAAATCTGTTCAGAAAGGTTAATTTGGCTGTTAAAACAACAAGTGAATAGAAATGCTTAGACCGAGAAATATAACTGAAACCCTTATAGCGAGAAAATACCTAGTAATGAAATATATGAGAAATAAATTTTAAAACCAAACAAAATAAGGAAAATAAAACCCTATGAAATTAAATTAAACTAAAAATATGAAGCTAATAATATAAAGATAAAGATACCAGACAAAACAAAACTAGAAATCCAAATTAAGAAAAACTATATAAATTAAACAGAGAAATCCTAGGAACAAAAATAAGTAAAAACAAAATAGGACCAACTAAATGTAAAAAAAACCCAAAAAACAAAACAAAATAGCCAAAAGGAACTATCAAAGAAAAAGAACTATCAAAGAAAGGTAAAAATAAAAAATAAAGAACCTATACCTTATTCAGGTATAAGAAATATTTTTTAAAAAAGACAACCTTGGGACTGAAGAATCTTTGTAGAGTCTTAAAGTCAATTGGAGAGTCTTTCTCGAGTCTTAGCTAGGCTACTTTATCTGAGATAAATTTAGAAGATAGCTCTGGAGCTCTAGTGCATTAGGTGTTGTCAGTACGATGAGTGATATCGCAGACAAGAAATAGGAGAGTCGGTGTTTGACACCTATATATACTGGTAATTATAGCACGTGGAATTCTTGTCTAACATTATGTGCAGGTCGGTTACAGTTGGGTGATTCGTTTATAGTGAGGACACGTCTCGTCTCGTATATTGTGTTTCAAACGTCAGACGAACAGACCCTAATTAAACCGCCTAGCACCCACTCCGCTTAAACTGATGTACGACATGAGGTCCAAATGAAACCTTACCTTTGGAAGCCATGCCTGTGATGTCAACTTCTTGACCAGCAGCTGGTCTTTGGTAAAACGAATAACAACGCATATAGGTGTAGCATGTAGTTTACCGTCTCGTATAGATAGCCATTTTATTACGGAGACCGTGAAGGGACATAAAATAAAAATGATATTGACTAGTATGATCACGATATGAACTGATGTAGTAGAGTTAATGATGGAATATATCTGGATATTGACTAGTGTGGACTCTATATTAACTGATGTAGTAAAGTTAATGATGGAATATATCGGATAATATAATAAATGGTTCCACTACTGATAACTAGGGCGAAACAGTTCATCATTAGGCAACAATCCCAGAACCATAAAATGATACGAGTTTTAGCACGTAGAACATTGTATGTATAATTGTATTGCTCATACTTTGACTCAGGGTGAAGTAATTTGACTGAAAGTTTCAGCATATTCTTTTTTTATTATCTATTTTGTAAACTATCTATAGCTAGAACTGTCAGCTCTTTTTCTAAATCTGACCTAATGCCGCTTTAGTATAGGGCGCCAGATGATCACTTGTTTATTCAAATAGTATCATTTATGTTCCTTACCCAGCTCCATACATTTAAACCCGGATACTAATTGGATCTACGTAAATAATAAAAAGTTACCTTTTATAATTTAACATGCATAAAGAATACAATAGAGGGCAGGGGCGGTGTTGGTGGCTTTTTATAACGAGAGATCGTAATGAAAGGAAATCTATTCATTGAACATGTGTATATTCATTGAACATGTGTATATTCATTGAACATGTGTATATTCAGTCGCTGATATAAGAGAAAGAGCGAGCGTACAGCAGCTTGTACACTTTTATTTATTAATGATGTAGGGCATAGACTCGGCTAGTAAATGTGAGGGGGGGGGGGGGGTAACGTCCACCTGACAAAAACTAAGTAATTTCGGGACTAACATAGGTCCAATTTCATTTGAATAATTCGCTAGCACGTTGGGGTGTTTAACAAAAGGGGGTACCTTGTGATTTGACGCGCATGCGTTAAACAACTAGACTCCACCCTACCCCTCACCCCAAGACATATAAACAGAATTGTTTCAACTAATTGCCTGTTAATATTCCACTACAAGGATTGGTCTAGTAAACAGACTATATACTAGAACAAAAAACATGGCGGTGGGAAACAGGTTTATTTATCTTCAAACGAGGTGATATCGTAGACAATAAATATAATTAAAATATTTACAATAGATTAACAATTATAATGATAAGAATATATCAATATAAATATATAAAAATAAAAAAAATCACCTCCAACCCCGATACACAATAATAATGGTAACAATATGTCAATATAATGAGCCAAAAATATTTACTTTTTTCCTCCGACAAATTAAATTATAAAACATTTTTTTTAAATATTAGAAAAATAAATAAAGACGTAGAAGTATTTGTAGGTGAAAAGTATTTGCTATTAGTATAAATTGGTATTAAAATGAGTAAAAGGCAACATTCTGCCCGATTCAGTAACGTCTTATGTAAACAATGCACGCGGCATTGAGCCAATGATTGACGTAGCGTGATGTGACGTCGCGTTTTGAAGGCAGTCATCTTTTACAGAGATATTAGAAGACTTTCGTAATTCTCTGTGAAATAGATCGGCAGAGCACACTACATTATATGGCTCTTCTACAAATGAATGCAGGGGTCTCTCGCGAATTGAGCGGCTGTCTGTCAATGGCCAGAGCTCTGACGGTTTGCTACCCTTGAATTTCGGCTTTCAATAATCTAATTGTTCAAATATGACGTAATTAATTAAAATGATTGGTTACTAAGCCAAATGATGCAATAGAAATTTTTCTACCATTAGTGATAAACATGATATTCAGGATTCACCGCATACTCCTCGCAGTGTTTCGTTTGATTAGAGCTAATCCCACTACTCACTGCTGTAAACAAAGCAAATTCTTGTTCTAAATTATGACTGGTCAATAGTCCGATTAACAACCAATAGCTTACTGCGTAACAATACCAAACAGGGCTTCAAATTGGACCAAATATGTTTACATAACGTTACGTCATGACTCACGATTTTATTATGATCAATTAACCAGTGCATAGCAGAATATTGCAGAAAAAACAATTGTGTGACAAACAAGGCTATCAACTGTCAGCACGATTTTTACTCTGTGCATATAATGTAAACAATATTGTTTTGAGACGAACAACAATTTCACCGTTTTAAATACCTTAAATCACTGTCCAAAGTTTTAGGGAAGAGCCCTGATAAAACGAAGGGCTGCCATGTTGCTGTGCTTTTGGATAGATTTGATTGAATGGGAAGAATAGACACACTCCCTCAAAAGCGCAAGTATCAGAAGCTAATCCAGCAATGGCCAGAGAGGGATTTCTCGGGCCATTGCTTCAGGAATATGGATTCACCGAGAATCAGCTATGTTTTTGTTTTATTAATCTTTTTATGTGGAAACTACTCAAGTCATTCAGTCAAACTACTCAAGTCATTCAGTCAAACTACTCAAGTCATTCAGTCAGCTATGAATTCTCTATAATACATGTATATAAAACCAATAATAAGTTAAAGATATAATATAATGCTATTATTCCTTTAAAGGTCAAAACATTTTATAATAAAATAAAATATGAATAAAAATATGAACATCATAAAATAGTGGAGCAAGAAGTAAATGAAAAACAATATTGATAAGAAGAACGGGGTCACGTTTCCTAGGTAACAAACGGGAACATCAATTTGAAATCCAAACCATAAGAGGAAACCTACAAATGCAAATAAATACTGTTGTACTGCTGATTAATCAAAGAGATGGCTGCAATAAATATAGCTGATTAGTCAAATAAATATAGCTGATTAATCAAAGAGATAGCTACAATAAATATAGCTGATTAATCAAAGAGACAATAAATTTACACTAAATATATCAAATGATACCATGTAATAAAATGGATTACCATAATCAAGGGAGCTAACTCCAGAAGTAGTTATCCGAAATTACACATTATAAATAACCAAATATAGATCTGTATTTTAATCAGATTGAGTGGATCGTGTATAAAATTGTCAAGTTTGAATTTCAAGACTCACCAACTATCACCGGTCCAACTTGGATTATAAGCAACAGGGCAGTTATAACGTATTTTAGGTATTTTTCATATCTTTTTTGATACAAGATCAGGCTCACCACGCCTTGTAAGACCGCAACAGCAGGACCGTACCACTCTTCAGGACAATTTGTGGACAAAATGACACCTAGAAGCAACAAAACTGAGCAAATAAATGATCACCAATTTCATAGTCCAGTTTACTTTTCCGGAGAACTACGCGAATTCCTTTTACTACGAAAATGAACACAACTCTTGTTGGATTAAAGGACATATTTTATGCTAAAGCACGATTCATTTTTGTTTTTAAAAATGTCGGCTTTATTTACACTAAAGAAGACAAAATGATTGAGTGCACTTTCCAAAATGTAGCAATGAATTTATTTGGAATTAACCAGAGCTACGTAAGATAATTTCAGACAAGAGGCAAACCCAAATCCGGGAAATAAGTTTTAATAATATCCCCCGGAATACCCACAAACCCCTCAACCCCGGAAACGCCCATCACCACAGCTTAAAGTTCTACCATACGGACGGAAAAGACATTCTCGCTGAAAGAACATGTACATGTAACACATTGAACTTCTTGGTCCACTTTGTCGTGTGTTTTTTTTTTCTCTCGGAAATTCGTTTTGATACAGGTATAAAGCATTTACCTGAAGAAACTTACCACAGAAAATCTGTAGGACAAAACACATATTTAAACAAAAACGGCAAACTGAAATAAATTAGGAAAATGAAATGAAATGAAATGGGGTTTAACGACCTACCGTTTTGCTTCGAACAGCGGCACTACGGCCTACTCTTATATCGAATTTCAACTGTCAAGGGATATTTTACGTGTACGGCAATGTGTATACGAGACCTCGGTTTTTCGTCCATCCGAACAACTAGACAGCTGTCCTTGTCAGGCCCTCGGTCCAACTGTCAAGGGATCTTTTACGTGCACACCGATGTTTACACGGGACCTCGGTTTTTCGTCCCATTCGAACGACTAGACAGCTGTCCTTGGCAAACCCTCCGTCCTGAATCACTAACAAGGGAGAACCACGCCGGAAAATCTGGATGAACTTTTTCGGCAAATGCAGGGATCGAACACCCGACCTCCTGGCTATCGACCCAGCATCTTAATGTGGTTAACGTTCACTCGATACAAACTAGGGCATTTTGGGACTAACATACGGTTCGATTTTATTTCATTAAACATACATTATGCAAGAACTAAATCTGCCTATTGCAGGTCTTTCTTTAGACCTGAAATGTTATATAAACTATTAATTAGACATTAATTAACAAAACAAGACCATAATCAACTCTCGATGGCATCAGATACTCGAGATTTTAACTAGATTAAAACGGATCGCCATTTAAAAATTTAATTTAAAAATGGGAAAGCGAGCCACACATCTTGTCAAAACTACAAACAATGATAACTTGGCTGAGAATGAAGTAATTTTATTGAAATTTTCAATATTTTCTTTTTTTATCATCTATTTTTGAATTATTATTGCAACCAACTAAACTAAAACACCATAACTTATACTTACAGAATGCAATCTCTAAGTCACTGAATATACTTTCCCTGTCTTCGTTAGAGTTATCTTTACCCTTTTCTAATTCAATATCCAAAGCTCGATCTTTTACCAATAACAAAATAAGAGAAGAAAACAACAAAATATGAAAGACCCAATATTCCAAGCGGTTCATACTAGAGACATAATACATCGGACTAGAGGCACAATAGTTACAGTTGAAAAAATAACAGTTCAGGCTAGAGGCACCTTAGTTCAGACTAGAGGCACAATAGTTCAAACAAGAGGCACCATAGTTCGGACTAGAGACACAATCGTTATGGCTAGATCCACAATAGTTCAGATTAGAAGTTCAGATTAGTGTAGTATCATGCCTAGTATTATGCAGTCGCTGGCTAGATGTGGAAAATACACGGGATAACTCCCCACATCCAACATGTGACGCATACTCTCTTCT